TCTTGAGAATTCATGTTCTGTGTCTTCATTACCTCATGTTAGAATATTGTCCATGCATTTTATGGTGAAGCTGCAGGATAAACTCGTTTTTTTCAGTCTCAAAATGGCGTGGATATGCATTTTTGTGCTCTTCCCATAGCATATTTCCTTTGTACGTTATTTGAAGAGCTGGTTGTTTCTGACTGCCCTCATTGGTGTGTCTGAGCCTGGGCTGAGGAGCCTGTCCATGCCAGTACTGCTGCTCCCTGGCCTCTTCCTCCCCCCACTTCTGACTGCCCCCTAGGGCCTGCTCTCTTCTCCCCAGCACCTCAGCCCTGAGCCCACTGCAGGGTCTTCAGGTAAGTTCATGTGGACTTTGGATTTTACCAGATTCGAGAATTAATTATTCTGAATCATTCCTCTTACTTTTTATAACTCTGGTGATACCAAAGGAGGCAGTGAGCTAGCTCCCTCCACCAGACTTCGTGAGTTCAGCCAGTGAGACAAATATGTAAAGGATGGGATCCAGTTTACCTTAAAACCCACAAAACAAAGCAAAAAGAAAAAGGAAAGAAAACCCAGGATGTTTTACGTGTTAGAAATAGGAAGCGCAGGGGACAGCATTAACCCATGTGAAAGTCTGGGGGTGTAGCTCAGTGGGGAGCACTTGCCTAGCGAGTGTAAGGTGTGGAGTTCAACCCAGCATTGCAAAAAAAATATATATATATATATGGAAAATGTAGAGAAGAAAAGCTTCCACAAAAGAGGAGGTGGTCTGGCTGCCTGGAGCACACCCCCGAGAGAACTCAGTGCCCAGCCCTAGGGGCACACAGGGCCATTACAGCTGTCCGCTCCAGTGCCCTGGCTCTGATTCCACCGCACTGTGTGACCTTAGTAACCCCAGAGCTTGCAGTTATGGGGAGTTTGACAGGAAGGATGTACTGGCTAGGCACCTCGAGGTGGTCTCTTAACGTTTTTGGCTCATTCTGAATTCATATATTGACATCCATATTATCAATACTAACATTAATAGCAGCAGCATTTCTTAATCTTTCGTGAGTTTATTCACATTGAAACCATCTTCAAGGACTGATCAGTCCTGAGGTGCTGGAGTTTTTCTGGATCTGCAGAGCTGGGGGCCAGACCTGGGTGCTTGTCCACTATGCCCTGCAGGGAGCCCCAAGGGGAGTCAAGCAGTTCCTGCCACACCTGCTGACCACAGTGGGAGCACATGCAGGACAGCTAACCCAGGGTCTTGAGAGCCTTGGTCACCAAGGTCAGGACTGTGAGAAAAGTCTTGGCTTGAGGAAGGTGTTTTCCACATGGTCATCCAGGAACTCCAGGTTAAATAGAACTGAAATTCTAAACTGTTAGTTTTTATTCTTCTCTGCATTCTTTAGGATGAAGTGTTCATCTCTGTGAATCTTCACATCTCTTAGACAGAGGCGCTGATTTGTTACTAGGACTGCAGGGATAAGTCACATGCATTTACATACAGAATCCACACTCTAGAAGTTTCCACTGTCCTCCCCCCAGGCAGGTCTTGGTGTTGTCATTGTGGTCTAAGCCTACTGTCATCTCCAGGCCTGGTTCTTCCCAGCCTCTCATGCTCTGATAGGAAATACTATGTTACTGCTGAAATCTGTTCTTTCTAATAGTTGTAAAGATCTATAGGAGGAAAAAAAAGTGTGAGGTGGTCTACAGAAATTAATCTTGTTACAGTAACACAAATTATAAACCTTAAAGAAAGCTGTTCGTGTACTGACAGTCTATCTTTGTTGAATACGTTGGTTTGAAATACCTGGACTGCTGTTAAAGTTTTAAGGTTTTATAATTGAAATTCTGTCCTTAATTTGGGTTTGGGACAAGGACCATAGGGAGTGTTGCATGGAGGCCCTTTTCCAGACAGTGGACTGTGTGTGTTCGTGCGGTGTAACTGGAGGCAGGTGGCTGTGGCTGAGGAGGTGGGTCACATCATCGTCAGGAGCCAGGATGCACTGATTAGGGATCTGAGTTGTAATATCCAAGATTTGAGGTTTAACAGCTTCTTGACCCTTGTCCCTTTTGAATGCAAAGTAACTGCTCTGAGCTGATGACCAATCATGCCTTAGATATGCTGGCCCAGAAGAGGCATGTGCTTCAGGCTGTTATGATCATGGCTGCTGACATTGAGAAACTGCCTGGTACAGCGTTGGCACTGTGATGGTTAGAGAGGCAAATAGAAAAATCCATTATAAGTCCCTTAGATTTGAAATATTACTGGGTCATTTTGTTTTGCAGATAGACTGTGGAAAGAAGTTGGCCACAGTAAGCTAGAATATGTTAAGTGCATCTAGTGCCTTTATCGTGATTTCATTTTTATAAAACTCAAGGAAGAAAAAATAATGATTGTAATTTTAAATAAGCATCAATTATAAGTAAAAAGCATTTTTGTATCTGTTACCATAGTTACACAGCAGCCTTCCTCTGTTTGTGGAGAAAATGGCCTCTGTCATACGGAGTATTCCAACAAGTCTCTGGGAAAGGGATAGAGAAGAGGGTGTATAGGAGAGGTCCTCCCACACTAGAAGCAGCAGGCATTACTGACCACATTATTTTTGCCTCTGAGTTTCATAGAGGTCCCCACTAAGTAGTACTGCTTTTGAAAGTGGAGGTTTTCTTTTAGCTGCAATATAAATGTTAGCCAGCCTCACTGAGTGTCAGAATTGTATTCAAACTTTGGAAATCTGCTGCCATTTACATGGGTGCTGCTATATTTCTGCAGGATCTTAAAATATTTAAGTAAAGCAAACACTAGACGTTTCCTGTATTTGCAAACACCAACTGTGTCTCAAAAGAATGAAATTAGTCAAATAACGATGAAACCGAATTTTTAATTCAAAGAAGCCAGAAGTGACAGTTTCTGTGCGGGAAGGAACGGGAGGGAGCATGCTCCAACCCCAAATCTGCACCTTTGCTCCCAGAGTCTTAGAGTCAGGCAAACTTATCCTGAGTTTTAATTCTTTGATAGTTTGGGTTGGGTAGGGGTTAAATTTTATCAGGCTGTATTTTGCTGAAAGATGTTTTTCTCTGGAGACCAGCAGGTTGTTGGATCATTCCTGGTGAGTGCACAGCTGCTGGAATCGACTGTGTAATTTGGGAGAATTGGATGGATGGGTTTGGGGAAATGAGTCATAAAGGTTGGCAGAATGAGAGATAGGGACAGGGATGCCAGGGAGCTCAGATGGTGACAGGAAAGGAGGAGTGGTGGTCACAGAATGACAAGGCAGGAGAAATCTAGAGAATGTCATAGAACCTTCTCAGATATCCCAAATTAAGAAGAAAGGTGAGGACAGGCATTTCAGAGTATGTGGAATCCAGGGTTAACATGTGGTTTGCATGGTGTTCCTTGGGCTGTTCCTCCCACTGCGCCCCATTTGTCTCTTTCCTTCCACAGAAGTGCTCTAAGAGGGAGCCATCTTCTCTGCTGATGGCAGCATTCTTCCCCCTTGAGCCCCTAACTCACCTTCTCAGTCTCTCTCCCCTCTGACTGCCATGCTCAGTGTTTGAAAAAACTGGAAAGTGCTGGCCTTCTAGCGCCCTACGGAAGTACTAGTTGCTAACTTAACCTAGTGAAGCAACGCAGAGAGCACAATTAGAAAAACTTGGAAAATTAAGGAACATTTAACGTTGTATTTAGCCATTACTCATAACTACTGTCCACCATGAAATCTTCACTGAAATGGTCTGAAGCTGGCAAACATCTGGGGAAGGCATTTTTGGTGTGTAAAGCCTCTCTGTTGGTGGTTCTCAGGAGGCAGTGGCCTAGAAGGCTGGGCTGTCCTTAGACCTGAAGAAAACATGCTGAGCACGTCTTAGCATGTTCATTTTCCTTTCTTGTCCACCATGTATCACATCAGATATCCCAAACTAAGAAGAAAGGTGAGGACAGGCATTTCAGAGTATGTGGAAACCCAGTGTTTAACATGTACTTTGCATGTGTATCACACCATAGGCCATGTTTCCTCCACCCTGAAGCCAAAGCAGAACAGCACTTGCCCCGTGTTCCAGCCTTTTTCTAGGGAGACTCTCAGGAGAAGGTGCCCTCTGAGGGGTTCAGAAAACAGCAGCACAGCTTACACTGCCCACACTGCTCTCTCTCTCGGCCGTCGGGGGCCTGTGGGTGCTCAGAGTGCAGTGTCAATTCCTGGAGCCAGGTCCCCTGGTGGGCATGTCCAGGGTCACAGTCCCTGTCAGGCTGTTTCGGTTTCCTTTCCCTTTGTCTCTGCTTTCAGTGTTTCCCTTTGTTGTGTTTAACGTATCCCGAGAGCCGCTGAGCCCATTCTTGGACTAAGGCTGGGTATAAATCTCTTAAAAGATAGGCCTGAAAAGTTTTATTTTCTGATAATTAAAGAATCTCAATAGCTGGGAGCAGCCTAAACAATCTCAGTGACATTTTTTGGAGATTTCCATTTTCAGTTTCAGTCCTGCCTGTACCTCCTGGGGCACGTAAAGTTCCCACCAGAAAGTTAGGTGGCTGTGCAGACTGTGTGCCTGAACTCTGTCCACCTGATCAATCATGTCCATACCCATAGTAGATGGTGTCCTAACTGTTTCCCTCTCCAGGAGCTGGGTGCTAATAGTCCTTGGGGACCATCTGCCTTCACTGTTCTGAGGCCCTGACTTACAGTGAGAACTGCTGCTGTAGCTTATTTTTTATTCACTAAAATATCCTAATGGTAGCTGTTATTTGCCTGACTTTAATGATGATTGGAATGGACTATAAAGGCTATTGTAAGGCTTCATTTGTAAATTAAGTGGTCATCAGGCACAGATCTAGGGGATGTATTATGGAATAGATGGAGCCAACTGGGACTTGAATCCTCTCAAGTCGAACACAGCTTCTTATGTGGCCAGAGGAGTGTGGAAAGGTGTGTCTGTGAAGCTGTGTTTTCAGCAGCCCACACTCTGGGACTTAAAGATTGCTCAATTGTGCTTTGCCACACGTGCCACACAGTGACGCATGCTTGTTTACCATCAAGGTGGACGTGGGAGTGGTGCACTTCACGCCCCTGATACGGCCCAAGATAGAGCAGCCATTCAAGCTGGTGGAGAAGGTCGTTCAGAGTGCATTCCAGTTCCGGAGGAAGTACTGCCACCACGGCCTGGGGTAAGCGTGTCCCTCCTCTCTGGCCTTAAAATTCCTAAAGTTCTGTGACTCCTACTCTGTCATTAGCTGGAATCCTGCGATGAGCAAAATGTGGCTGCCTTGGTTTGCCTCAGAGGCCACTCGCAGGCCTGGCAGGGTTGCAGGCCTGGTGCTGACCCAGTCCCAGGGAGGTGATGGGTTCTCAGGATGGACACAGACAGACTATGGCTTTTCCACGCTTTTTGCACCACGTTGCCATCTCCCTTCTTGAAGGATACATGACAACTAGGAAGCAGATGTAACTTCTGAGCAGCCAAAACAAAGTGACAGGCTCCTTCCCGTGAGTGCACTTGGTCCTGCTCTGCTCGCTGCTCACACGGGAAACAGACACTGGGTCTTAGTTCAGAGCCCACATACCTCAGTGGACCTGCAGTGACCACAGTGATATCCTGTATCCTGAGGGTCACTTATAGTCTAAGAAGGCTGAGAAATGTATTTTATAGATTTCCACCTAATGGGCAGCATTTAGCTGTTGAAAGGGACTCGACTTTACAGCACACATTTCTCATTTCCAGGACCTCCTGGCATAGCTCCCTCTCTGGTCCTGTGAAATGACTTCAGGTTCTGCTAGGCAGAATTCCACAAAACCTCTTTTCTGGTGGCAATTTTAACTCTTGGCCTGCTGTTTGCTGATCCAGGTGGGACTCACAGCTGTACCTGACCACCCTGATTCATAGCCAGGAAGCATCACAAAGTATATCCTGCTTTTAGAAATCCTTGAGTTGGTCTGAACTTAAAGCTGGCCCTACCGTCATCTAGGCAACCCCCCGCTAAGTGACAGGCCCCATTCATTTCTGCACACAGTTCTGTCTGTGGGTGTCGACAAATATTGTGATCCGCTTTGGTGTGTTGGTGTCCTTCAGTCACACCACATCACACAGTGGTCCCAGATGTTAGAGCATCATCAGACCCTCCTGCCATGAAGCTGGACTTTGAGGTCACCTCACCTGAAAGTGTGGGGGCCTGCAGCTCCTGTTGAGGACACTAAGCCTTCGCTGGCCTCAACACCTCCCAAGCCATTCGGGGGAGCTCTGTGGACTGAGGTCTGAGAGAAGAAAACAAGGGCCAGGCCCACCTCCTCCCAGTGTCCCAAGCAGTTGTTTCATTCTTTTAAAATAATGACTTCATTTGGTTAAATGCAATTTAAAGTACTCTGAAACGCTGTAAAGATGCTTCAAAAATATCTTAAAGAGGGGAAGTGCTGTTTTCCCATCAACTGTGTTCTAGCTTTACAAAACAGTCACTCTTGGGGGTGAAGGAAATTCAAATTATAGAGAAACAAAACTGGAGCTTTGGTACCTAGGAATACAGAAGATTTTCATCAAAATTTGAGGCAAATCAGAACATACTTCTGCAAGATGCAGCAGAGCAGATATGATGTGTAGCAAGCTAGCTTTGGAAACTTTATTTTGGACACACCTGCTTTCCAAAGCAGGGTGCATCTACCTCTGGTGGGTTGTACCTCTTGTAATCCAAGAGGTTCTAGTGGCCTCTGTCATTCCCTCAAGGTGGCAATTGCCAGGAACCCTGTCGTTTTTAAGAGTAGGAGATGTGACGATTCCCAGAATTTAAGTAAAATTCTGCTTTTTCCCCCTTCCCCCAGAATGCTGTTCCCTGCAGCTCAGCGCCTGGAGAGCACAGGAAGGTTGTTGCAGTTGGCAGACGTAGACCCCACTCTTCGTCCCACCCAGCTCTCGGTTTTGCACTTTAAGAACCTCTGTGACATATACAGAAAAATGTGTGACAAAGACCCACAGCTCTTTGCTTATAATTTCCGAGAAGAACTCAAGCAAAGTAGAAGCAAAAATCAGACTAAAGACAGTGACAAGGAGAGCTGTGGACTCTAGCAGGCTGCAGCCAGCAGGTGGGCTTCTCAGTCCTTGTCCGTCTTCACAGAACGACAGTAAAACACCCGTGGTCAGATGACATGCTCCTTTTACTGTACAACTTGGTAAAGAAAATAAATATCAAGATACAGTACCAGCTTTCTTTTAATATATACTGCATAGATATGACATGTTTAGTATAAACAGCATCTATTACAACCTTACAAAAATGAAATCTCTGCACATTGTGCCCCTAAACCACATTAAAATAACTTAAATTTGCTTTAAATAAAGCAAAAACTAACAGCTCAAAGAAAATGCCCAGAAGCTTCTGGGGGAAAAAAGGATCCCTTTAAAGCTATTAATCACAACTTCCCCGACCTTACTTTTTCCACATAACTTAAAGTAATTAGAATGAAATTTTATTTTAAGGATTCTAAATCATTTTGATACCTGCTCAAAAAGGGATATAAACTAATTTACAGATTCTGACCAGTTTAATCTGGTTTTCTGGTCCACAATAAATTAAAATAACTTAAATCTTTACAATGTTTTTGTGGGAAAATATATACTGCACAAAACCCAGTAGTGGTCTTTCTGCAGTTTCCACTTCACCAATTTTAAAAGTCAAGGATCAGTGTCATGAGTCTGGATCGAGCTGCACTATGATTTTCCATGGCTCTCTGTTTCGTAAAAGCACTCCTCGTTGACAACCGAAGTTAAGCTCTGGACACTGAATTCCCGCTCTAGAACCAAATTTAGATCAATGTTGGCGTTTTCGGGTTGACTGTCAAGGGACTGGTGACGAGTCTGCGCCTTGAGCAGAGTCGCTCTGTCCCTCTTGGTGCTGTTTGCTTTTCGTTTAATGGGGCAGAAGTGGGCCCGGACCAGCTTGGGCTGCTCCCCTCCCTTCTGGCCCTCGTCAGCCCTGGTGCCCGGCTGGTGGTCAGCCGGGAGTGGGTCAGGATCCTCAGAGATTCTTAGTCTTTGGAACCGAATTTCGATGTCCTTGGTAGGGCTGCCCTGGTTCAGTGTCGGGTGGCAGTCCTCATCTTCGTCGCTCAGAATATCGCTCTCTTTGATGAGACTGTCTGGAAACTCTGCTGGGCCAACGTGGGGGTCCCTCCCGGGAGCCGCGCTCTTGCAGTCCTGCCTGCTCTCAGCCACAGGGCAGCCACTGCTCTGGGTGCCGCTGCTCAAGCTGCACTCGTCTGAGTCCAGAGAGTGGCCCTTGCTGGACTCACTGGGCCAATCGCTGCTGGCAGAGGTCCTGAGGACTTTCAAAGACCTGGACGAGGCTGCAACGAGAAAAGAACATTGCTCTCCCTTTGTGACCCAAAGAGATTACATAGTGGGCAGTTTCTGATTCGTAAGGTATGAGACTTAACATCTTAATTACGTACGACTGTATTCCATCATTTGAAATCTATTACCTGGTATTTAGACAGAAATGTGTAAATACTGCAAGCATAGAAATTTTTTATTTATGTTCATTTGAAATTATAAGTTCAGGGAAGTGAGCATTTTTTATTATTTTTATAAATAATGAAGCTCTAGTAAACTACCTATAGAGCCTAGAACTCTTATTTTGCCAACAAGTAAACTGAAAATTAATCACTAATAAAATCTAGGTTCCGATCTTTGTAATCTGATAATCAAGATTATACCATCTTTCTCTGCATATTTTCTTGTTTATTTTCCTTGCTCAATTAAAAGCAGAAATATGTTCTTTATCTTTCATAAGAACCCTCTCTGGAATTTCTAAGCAACTTTCAGCGAGTCTGCATTCTGCATGTGTGTGTTTCATTCTGTTCTCTTGGGCTGATGGGGAAAGGAACTTGCAGTTGAAGTGTTTCCAGACATTAGCTGCATATTATTTTTTGGTGGCCAGGGTTTATTTTGACATTAAACACATAATCTGAAAAGGTCAAATTATAGCTGAAAAAGATGTTTTTAGTTTTACAAACTGTGTGGTAACTACAACAAAAGATGAAACAGCGAAGACTGAAGTTCTGAAGACTGATGCTAAAATTTTGCAAACAAAGTTGAAGAGCAGAACCTAGAGTGATCACCTGCTGGCTTGTGTAGAAGATTAGGTTTCTTGATCTTAAATTTTAAGCACTGGGCCTAGATGCCTGGTGCCGTTGTGAACCTGGGGATGCACAGTGAGCAGAACAGATGGGGAATCCGGACCTGGGAGAATGGGCTTTGGGCTGGAGGCGGATGCCTTCCTCAGAGGCTGGCTGGAGCAGGAGCCAGGTTGGGTCCCTTGGAAACGAAGCTTCCCCTGAGCACGGACAGTGTTCCCCAGAGATGGGTGACAAGAGCACACCCCGTCCCACCACGTCGTGGATAAACAGAACTGGCAAAGTGCTCACCTAATTTGGCTGAGACCGGAACGCGGTTCTTCAGTGGGACCAGGCGATCCTTGCACGCCTTCTCCAGAGGTAGCTCACACTTGATGTGGCGCCTGAAGTTTTCCCGCAGGATAGAGCGGATCACCTTCACGATGCTGGTCTTGCTCTCGCTGTCACTGTGGGAGTGAGGGCACAGCAATGGTCTGCAGGGTCCTCGGCCTTTACCCTGGCCCTCGCTGCTCCTCGTGGCCCTCCAGCATGGGCTTAGCTGGCAGAAAGCCATCTTCTCTGCCTGGCTGTCCCCACTTACAAAAGGAGGCGAGAGGCGGTCTCCCTGAGGGTCAGGTGGGTTACACTTGACCAACGTATCCCTCCACTGGGCCTTCAGTGGCTGTGTTTGGGGGTGGGTGTGAGCCAAAGCTCAGGTGGGCACTAAAACTCCGCTTCCTAGGGGTCGGTTCTGTCATTTCCCTGGTTTAAATTTCTGGAAGTCAGGATACCTGCAGCACAGCTGAAAGATGGTTTCTGGCCGTCCTTCTATCTCTGACTTTGTATGGATCAGCTCCCATAAGGAATTATTTTCTGTCCCTGCGTAAAAAGAAATGGAAACAAGAGTCTATGACTTTGTCATGTGCCACGATTGAGAACCCTTGTGAAGCTTAACACTCAAGATTAAAAAGTCAGATGGTCCCAGTGCTGACTCATGGTTCCTTCGTGGCTCGGGCTGTGTGTGATTTTGATATGCTTATTGCTTACAGTTGGTATTTCCTGCTGAAGTTTTCTAGCTATCTGTCTGATCCTGCCTTTCCAATGCTCCAGGAAAAAATGCTTTGACATGTATCCTCCTCTGGCCCGCTCTTTGGCCTTTCGGAAGAAAGCGCTCGGGCCCTTGAGGTAACAGTCCCGTCCTGGGGAAACCTAGTGCCTCTGACAGACTAACGAGAACCAACATGTCACTGCACACCCCAGCCTGTCGCCCTCTGTCACCTGACTCACTGCCAGCAACTCATGGTTATTCTGGAAGGGTCTGTGACCATTTTCCAGGGCCAAAGACTTTTTTAATTTTAGGGTATCAAGAATGTTAGGCTAAAGCCGGGCACAATGGCGCACACCTATAATCCCAGCAGTTTGGGAGGCTGAGGCAGGAGGATTGTGAGTTCAGTGCCAGCCTCAGCAACAGCGAGGTGCTAAGCAACTCAGTGAGACCCTGTCTCTAAATAAAGTACAAAATAGGGCTGGGGATGTGGTTCAGTGGTTGAGTGCCCCAGAGTTCAATCCCCAGTACCCACCCACCCCTCCAAAAAAAAGAATGTTAGGCTAAAAAGAGAAACAGTGAAAACTTGATCATGAAAATGAAGTGATGAAAGGGGCCATCTGTCAGAGGAAACCATCTGTTGGCAAAGGTTTGTCAATAAATAGCAAAACCACCTCTTGTCCTTGTTTTCCTTCCCAATAAAACAAGACACACCACTGGGGTGCGGCTCAGTGGCAGGGCGCTTGCCTAGCCCATCTAAGGCCCAGGGTTCAATCCCCAGTACCACAAAAAAGAAGAGAGACAGAAGTGTACCCCCACGTGCTGATGGCCTGTCTGCCAGCCTGCGGTGCCACTGGGAAGTGGGGGGACCTTTACAAGTGGGGCCCCGTGGGAGGAAGTCCGAGCATGGCGGTGTGCCCTGAAGAGGGCACGGGACCTCAGTCCCCTCCCTCCTCCTGCTTCCTGCCTGCCTCGAGGCGAGGCCTCCTCCCACCATGAGTGCTGTGCCCACCCCACGTAGAACAGACACCTCTGAAATGAGCTAAAATGAGTCTGTCCTCCTGAAGGCTGGCGCTCGGCTGCTTTTATCACAGAAACAGAGCGGACCTGCCCCTGCCTGCCGCTGCTTCCTTCCTCAGTTCACTGCCTGGCGCTGCGCTGCACAGCAGTTACCTGCCGAGTTCCCCAGCCTCACTTGAAGGGCCGATATGGGAATCAACCAGCGGAATTTGAACGGGTCCAAGTCAGCGGAGTTGTGCGCAGGCCGGGAATTCGAGGGCTGCAACAAAAAGCCCACAGGAAAGAGGGTTAAGGAGCTCTCCGGAGCCGGTGTGCACAGTCCCTCTGTGCAGACAGGCTGTGTGCCGCTGTCCCGGGTCCAGGACACGGAATCGGGAATGCATCTGGTTCTCCAAGACCTCACCCATGGGGCCCGGGGTTCCAGGTCTCTAGGCCAGAGCCACAGCCAGCCCTGTGCACCTGCTGCTGAGGGCCTGGGACCACGGCCGAGTTCTAATTTAGGGGCCTGTGGGAGCCTGTGTTTTGAGTCAAGGTCAAAAGTCTTTTAAAAACAAGCTTCACGGACTCCAATGTGTGTGGAATAAACATGGGCCACTTTCAGGGATATAAAAGTCGATTTCTTACATAGCCCCCACGTGAACAGATTGTCTATAGGGAGACTCAGAAACGCCCCTAGAACCCGATTTCATTAGTTCCCCTCGGAATAAGTACCAATCAGCCTGTGAGCTGTGGTGCTCAGCGAGCTTTCTAGTTCAACATCGTAGGAGACAGCTGTGGAGAGGTAGTTTTAATTAAAAGTGATTCTTGTCTTACCAGTTTCTTTTTCAGTTTACAGTTTTCTTTATAAACCAATATGACAGCTCTCTTAAAAACTAAAAGGAAAAGAGAAAGAAAAGTCATTATTTAATAGAGACTCTTTCAAGGTTAAACTAATGCTGAATGTTTTACTAGAAAAAAGCTCTTCAAGCTTGGGAGTCGCTAAGATCCCAGTGTGATCCCAACACCAGGTGAGTAACCGCGCTGCCTTCTGGTCATGCTGCGTGGAGTGTTCTAAAGCAGCACCTGGCACTGCGAATCTTCCTGTTTAACCGGAGGCTGAGGACACGGTGTGCATCTCAGTGGCACTACACCCTCTACACTTGCTCTTCCGACTCTCAGAATTTAAGAGATTTTGAAGTGCAGCAAGCTTTAAGACAGCAGGTTTCAAAACAGCCTTGGGAGATCTGTGCCCATGACTTGTTCTGAGCCACACGGCACAAGGCGAGGCCCTTGTGAAGGGCCAGAGGTGGCTGTTCTCCCGACTCCTGGGAATCAGCATGTGGCTAGCTGGGTAGGGCTGGCCCAGTTCTCCTTGCTGTCTGTCTCTTGAGAGTTGACATTCTTTCTAATGGAATACTAACCAAATACCGTAAGCTCAAGGTCCTTTCTGGCTTTTCCTAGAGACAAAAACGGATTCAGCCAGGAAACTGTAGAGTGCATCAGGAGTTCCCCCATGGAAAGTTCTGTTACCTAGATTGTAAAGACAGGAAATAAAGAAGATGTGGAAACCCCCAGAGGTTTACATATATGTGGTCATTTGCTAAAAGACAAGTGCACCTATTTTCTATGGTCCCAATAACACACAGTATTAAATAGTAGGTTTTATAATGTGAGCTAAGCATCAAACCGTGGATAGACAACATGAAGGTGAGATATTTTGCTTCACTGCACACTGTGGATGTGAGAGGGGCCTCGTGAGCTACTGTTTCCATAACGTTAGTTCCACCGGTGTTCATCTGAAGGGCCTGTGTCAATATCTAGTATATTTGCCACCTCTAATCCCAAACTGCATTAGACTTGATAATAAAAGAAGTACCAACATTGAAACTGACCATTATTGAAAAGATTCCGGTTCTTTTCTATTCTTGCCATTTTTTACTCAAACTATATTGCCTCTTGCATGCATATGGGCATTAAAAGCACAGGGTTCTAAATTTAACAGTCACAAGAAAAGAATAATGTAGAAAATGTCAAATCCCACTTGGACTGGCTTCAGTAAGCCAGGTAACCACTAATATTTGATGTTCAAAATGGAAGAATAAAAAAGGAGAAGCCCTTGATTCTCTCTGCAGGCTGCTCCCCTCTTTCCCTCATCCTTCCCTCCCAGCACAAGAATTGGGACTGGGAGATGTCATGCCCAGGGGTGGGGACATGAGCCCAGGGAAGTGGTTTACTTGTAGTCTTTGGTTCATTGTGAACATGTCATTAGGTTACACTTTGAGACCAATGTAGTGAATTGCATGTTAAAAATCAAGTAAATTTTAGGTGGTTTTCTCCCCCAGGAGAGTACTATCAGCGTAGCCTAAACCCCATCCACCCAGGCCTAGGGCCTCTCTGAGTCCAGAGCCCAACAGACCTCCTTCTCTGGACCACTCTGGTCAGCTACCAGCTGGTCAAACACGGTCCCGTAGTCCTCATAGATCTTCTGCATCTCATTGATGTGGCTTGCTACCTTTTCCATTGCCTTCAGTGCCTCTGCAAAATATGAAACCGTGTTTATCATCTTTGTTTGCTTTAAGTCTGTCCAACAACAGTGATGAAGGAGCTTCAGAGGAGAGCCATCCAGACTGGTTCCCACCACCACCAGCATTGCTCAGGTGTGGCTTCCCAGGGCCCCCTGTAATCTAGTCCTTTCTGTGAACAGCCAGATACCTTCTACCTCAAATTCTCTTGGTGATGACTAACAGCAGCTAACACGCAGCACTTCCCATTAGACATGCATCACGAGTGATGAGTGTGAATCATCTCATCCCCACCATAAAACGATGGCTGTAACCAACCTCACTTTAAAGAAGAGATAATTGAGATAAAGAGTGCTTTGCCAGATTCTGGATAAAAACAAACGGTGGGGTCAGAATTCAACCCAAGAGTGGCAGGCCTCAGGGCACCTGCTCCTGAAGGCAGCCTCTCCTCCAAGGCCACTTACTGGATTGGAATCCAGTAAGTTACAGATGTAAACTGTGTAAACACCTTGCTGCCAGAGCAGTGGTTTGTATTGATACCTGGTGTTTAATACGTGGTATGAGGGCACATAAGGGACACAATGATTCTATCAAAATCAAAAAGCAAAATTCCAAGTCACCTCAAAATAAGTATTTTAACACTTTGTTCTCCTGATTCAGCATTTTCATCCTCTGCCAGGAGGGAGGTTTGGAAGGAAGTTGTTAACAGACTTTTAACTTTTATATAAAATAATTCTGTCTGCACCACTTATGACCCATAGTATGCTTGTCATGGATGAACAAGTTAAGTTTACTCCTCTGGTGCTTATTATTCACTACTGCTAACCTTTATTAACAAATCTGTTTCTCTCCCCAGAAATTTTATGAGCTGGCTTAACTTGACATCCTAGTTTTGACATGTGGAGAATAAATTACTACTTCTCTCTCCTGTCCAAAAGAAGCATCTCTCTAAGGGATCCTCTACTCTGAAATTGCAGGGCCCTGTGCTTTGTCCAGTCGTACCTCAAGCCAGTCATTTCAGAGGCTTCAGATGGTAACACACCAGCCTGGACCTCAAAGCACAGTCTGCCACTGAGCACTTCACCGCCAGCCCTGCTCTGCTCAGAGACGTCCACAAGGTGGCGCCTCCCCCAGCACGTAGGATCGGCAGCACCAGGGCAGCCACTGTCACAGCTTCCTGGTGGCAGGAGGAGGCCTGACTTGTTGTTTTGGCAGCCAGTTTACCAGCCAAGTGACTCAGGTAGCTTACTTCAACACACTGAGTTTAAATCACCTTCTTTCAAAGATTCAGATCGAATCACCCCTCAGAATTGTTGGGAGCTTCTGCAGGAAACTGATTTTACCAAAGGACTCTGTATTCTAAAGGAATGGCCATACTGAGCTGTCATCACATAGGAAAACCGAATGAGTCGCAGCCGTGACAGTGACTCAGAATGTGTCCCCTGCAGCTCATGCTGCCGTCCTCACCGCCTCACCTGTCAGGTGGTAGTGCTCCTCGCTCTCGTGGTCCGTCAGGGACACGAGCTCCCGCAGCAGCAGAGGGTACTTGAGCACTCGCTGAACCGGCTTGATGAGGTAGGACTCCAGGGTGGAGGAGTGCTGCTTGGTGGGATTCCGCGCATCCAGAAAAGCCTTAAAGGCCTTATCGGTTTTGGCTGTAAGCAATGGGGAAAGACCCTTAGAAGAGCTTGGTGGGACGCATGACACTGTCTGTCATTTGTCTTAACAAAGTTTTAGACCTTCCACTCTGTAGTCCATGCCATCCTTAAATAAAGGTCCAGGCACCCGGTTATCAACCTGGGATCCAGCTTTGAAGCTCTAACGGCCCGCTGAGCAAAGGAAGCTTACTGGGAAGGCAGAGGAGTACAGGCCCACCCCAAGAGGAGCACCGAGTCTGAACGCGCCTGTCTGGCTCTAGGTGCACACTCAGGCTCGCTCTCACAGGCGGCCTGGAAGGTGAGTTTCAAACAGTTCATCAAGCCACAAGACTGCTTCCAGAACCTCGGCCGAACCCACATGTGACTCAGATGGTAGCACAGCCAGAGTTTCTTCCACCGGCCTCGCTAGCACTGCTGTTCCCTCTTGTCTCCGCCTCATGGTGCTATCTGAAAAAGCACCACCATTTTTCCTTTGAAAATTTTTTCCTTTGAGCCCTGCAGCCTAAGCCTCACAGAGCCACAGCGCTGATGCACCGGCTTTGGCAGTGAGGACTGCCTTTCTCTTCAGTGTCGAGTGCCACGAAGTACACCCAGGAATCCGGTGCCCGTGATGTGAGTGCCAGTGGCCACACCAGCTGCCACTTTGCATTCCACCAGGTGGCCTCCTTTGGCCAGCTGTTTGGAATGCAACCCATCCAAATGAGGATATGCCCTTATTTGGGGTTCTTTGACAAAGGCAAAATCTCAGCATCTAGAAGATGCAGTACCATTTTGAACATGATTTTCAGTCAACTCAGTGGTGAGGTGAACCTCATTATAACAGAGAAGGGGGTTGGGCACTGCGTGTTTTGATTTTTCTACAGACCAACATACATAAGATGATGTTTGTAGGAGGAAATGCCTGGAGTTCAGACCTCTGTTTAAAGTGACTGGACACAGTGGATTCTGGCCATTTTTAGGAATTGTAAGTGTCCCAAGACTCCATCTGTTAAACTGGGGGCTTCTGAGGTACTGACAGCTCCACATTAAACTAAATGCAAAAGCTGTAGATGTGGTTAAACAGTGTCAGGAGAAAGATCTCGGTGCCCCAGGACAGTGTGCAGAGAAGGGCCACCACTGGGAGAGTGAGTTCTTCCCAGTTCTACAGAGAGACTCCAGTAGTTCACACACGTCTTGTGGGTTTGGTAGTAGTTTGTCATTGCTCCTCCAGCTAAAGAGGGTTGACACCAGAAAGTCCTGAGCACGCATTTCTTTCTATCCCATCCAAGATGTATGGTGGTAGGTTCCATAAGGCTGGGATGTGGTAAGAAAGAAATCCATGAAATCCAACAGCAGAGGGCGACCACCTAGCAAAGCAGCCACTGTGTCTCAGGCACATCTGCTCAGTGCTGCCAGTACCCTGAAATAAGTGAAAACTGTCCCCAGAACTTCTGACACTTTCAAGGCTAAGAAAAGAGCCAAATCCATTGAAATTGCACTTACCTCTGCTTGTTAAAATATAAATTTACTCTGCATCAAGACTAAGAATACAAAAGACCAAAACACATCTATAAAAGGTATGCACTACTCACCACGCTCAAGAACCTTCTGTACTTTAATGTGGTTAGCACAGAATCCGCTGTACAGTTTAAAGTGGTCGGCGTAATAGAGGAAAGAGCCTCCAAGGGAAAACAGCAGTTTCTAGAAGGGGAGGAAAAGTCAAATCAGACTCGCTTTGCTCCACGAGTGGACATCTGGCAGATGCAGGCCTGCTCCGTAATGTCCCCCTTGGTACCAAAACACAAGGGCCTCAGAAGTCCCCACTGACATACGCCCAGGGCTGCTCTGCTCACTCTGGATGCACCCCGATTCCCCCAGTGGGCCAACAGCTTGAGGTTCTGGCAGAGCCTTCTGACCTGGTGTGCCGTCAGAGGACAGGCAGCAGAGAGTGCTAAGAAATGCCCCCGCCAAGGAGGGCCAAGGGGGTGTTGGGCTGGACAGAGCCTGGAACTCGACTCTACTTCTGGACCCCTTTCCACGGCCTCTTGGCTTCTCGTCCCTGGGGGGTGGGGTTCATGTCAACCATGGAGTTTACTCTGGCACCACAGAGGAGAAGGCTCCATCCGAGCATCTGAAACCTATGCTCTCCACCCAGGTTCCCAGGACCACAGAGAAGGGGAGGTTCAGGGCAGGTGCTCTTGCTTCAGAAGCAAGACCCTAGATACCTCCCGGAAAGCTGAGGAAAGAGAAGGGTGTGGTCCACGGCCAGGGGATGCTGCAGAGGTGGGGCTGCCCAGATTTTTGACTGGCAGGGCATTTACTTTAGGAGAAAAATCCATGGCCTTCTTTTACCACCTGCCGGGGAAACAGTGCAGCGAACGTGCAAAGTTCACCTGGACAAGGGACACCACGCCTTCTTGAAGAGAGATTTTTGCACCATTCCCACCTAATTTTGCTTTAAATCTAAGTCTAAAATACTCACTCTAAACTGCGAGGGGGTTTCCAGTACATCGAAGTCAGAGGAGGCCGAGATCCCATCCTCCAGCGTCTCCAGAAACACCTTCTGAAACTCCAGCATCTCTGGCAAACTTCCAAAAAGCGACTCCATCTACGTGAAGGTTGGGGTTTGAAAAGGGGTGTGAGCCAGGACAAGCCGGGTGCCCCCTCAGGCCCTCATGTCAGTCACAGGGAAGGTCCCCAAGAAGCAGAAAGAGCAAATCTTTTCCAGACGAGCATTTTCATAAGAGATTTCACTTGAATGTAGAGAGACATACAGCCCCAGCCCCTATGATTCCATATTTCTAAGACAACTTTTTACACAGATGTAAAATTCTTGGTATTCAAATCAGGAAAGATGGAAGTCCACAGAAAAGAATGAATCTCTGTGGCTTAACCTTGAAAGTGTTTGGGAACATACGTCCTCCACTATAAATAACAATGACCAGCCCTCTGCCCTTGCCGTGTTCATGCAATAGAGGCCACACGTAGGGCCTTCAGGAGACCCCACGCCCCGGGTACTCATTGGAATCAGTACACAGAGTCTGTGTGAGAGCGGTTCGAAGGGAGCAGGAATCTGCCTGTCAGTACACAGAGGGAGCGAGTGCGTTATTTACCTCATCTTGGGTAAGAAAAGTCTCATTCTGAAGCGGCTCCAAGTATAATTCAAAGAGGCAGCTCAGATCCTGAAAGAAGAAAGTCTTCTTAACACCTAAATCTCAAATACCCGAGCGATTCCAGCAGCAGGCAGCAGCAGCTCCAAAGGCTCCCATTAGGAATGGTGAGGTGCGTCCTGCTGACACTCTGGGCACCCAGAGGGGTTGTTTTTTGCTCACCTAATGCAAAGCTTAATAAACAACACTTGTCAACTGGATTCCACAACCTTCCTCACAGCTTGATCTCCTATCTGTGTTGACAAAACACGCCTGTCTCTAGGCCACTGCCACAGGACCCCCCTTCCCTGCAGGGGAAGCGAGGTGTGGCTGGGGATTACTGCCAGGGGGACCCCACTGGATATCTGGGTTGCTTCTCTGCACCAGTGCAGGCGGACAGCTCCAGCATGGGACTGGAAGAACGAGATCTGGAGAGCTCTTTGATTTGGGGGTTGACACATTAGCAGAATTTTAAATTCCCATGTTCAAGTGCAAGAAAAGAATCCCCAGAGATTAGCAGTTAGAATGTTTAAAACGTGAGCTACATTTGTAAGCGCAGAACAGTTGGAGCTCACTGTATTTACAAACCCTCTAGATGAAGGGTTTTTTAATTTAATAATTTGAAGCTGAGACCAGGATATAATTAAGTGATAGAAAATATTTCTCTTTGGTTTTTCATTTATCCTGAAGAATTTTTAGTCCTAAAATACTAGACATAGTTGACTACTAAGTCAGCTGCAGTGGCTCCCTCATTTTACCAGGGAGAAATCTAAGAGCCAGAGAGCTTTCTCAAGCCCAAAGTGCCTCCTGGACCATCAGTGTGAGAACAAGACCAGGCCTGTGACACTAATGGCGCTTCACAATAAAAACATCCCTGCTTTCCTCCCTCGCCAAATTGCACAGTGGCCTGAGAAGGGAGCACACAGATGTTGATGGTTTCAGGGAGCATGCGGGAGTCCAGATTAGGTTAAAGAATGACCACAAGGAAAATGACGTGTTAAATGTCAACAAAAATAGCAGTAGTGGGGTGTGTGTGTGAATCACAGGAGGCACCAGGTGCGGTTACTTTGTAGACAGTGGCGGGCACGGCAGTCACTGCTGTCCAGTCTAAGGCCACCCAGGGGACTTACTGCACAGAAAGAGCAGGTCACGCTGAGCTGGGGGTGGCAAAGAGCTGCAGCCTGAGGCCCTATGAAAACAAAGTGCAGGTTCTTGCAGAGAAAGGGGAGTCAGCCCCTCCTGTCCTGACCCACAGCTTGCACGGTAGTAGAGGTACTAGTTCACAGGGAGATGACCTGCCCAGAGCAGCAGGAGGTATCAGGGAGAAGAAAATGGTGACAAAAAGGGACCTGATCCTACTCTTATCTCTGCCCGTCAAGGCTCCAGGACTCCTGATGTCAGAAGGACTCTGGAGCTCTCAGAGCTACCTGGAGAAAGGCCACCGTGGATGCAAAGAATTGCTCAGAAATCTGGCTGTCATTCCCTGTGGTCCCCTGAGCTCCCCACGCTCACTGCCAGACCAGACAGAATGGAGAGCAGAACTAATCTCATCTAGCTTTTCTTTCTCCTTATAGACCAAAGGAAGGGGCTTGGGGGAGCTTTCCTGGTCTACCTGTAAGCAAGGCTTTTAAAGTCCAAAGGCACAGTAGACAGGTGACTGAGGGAATCTCAGCTGCACCTTGTGGAGAAGGAAGGGAAGAGCCACATGTGTGGAGCCCACTCGGCTCCTGGCCTCGGAGCTGGAGGCTCAGGAAGGGAACAGGGACCAAGTAAGTTGGAGAAGATGTCCTAGGACATGCAGCCAGATTCGGCAGAGCCAGGCCTGGGTTCTCAGCCACCAACCTGTGCCATCCTGTTCCAGTAACAGACAAGTGAAGTGACCTGATAACAGGTCCCGAGTTTCAGCAAATACTTAAAGTGAGGAAGTGTGCTTTCCCAGGCGCCTGTGCTCATAGTGTTCCCCTGGGCTAGGGGAGATAAGGAAATGAATTCTTTGGGTCCCCTAGACGTTTGACATGACTCCCTCATCACGGAGTGAGAATGTTCCCCCGTGATACCCTTGCATTAGCCTCTGCCGCCCATGACCCTGGGCTCTGGGGGCTTGCATCTGCAGTGGCTTCTGTGCAGACTGCTTCCTGTGTCCTATCACCTAAAGTGATCTCTGCCCGGCCCTAAAGCAGTGCAGACTCCCTTCCCACAGATTGCAGATGACAACTAGAACATCTGTTTCCATAGTGAGAGCTACCTTGGTAACAAAATGAGCCGAGAATCTCATTTTTTCCGAGTCTTCTCAGCTCTCCCACCCGCTCACCCTGCCCTCCTTTCCTGCAATGTTTCATGGCTTCGGGGAGCAGGTGTCTGTCTCATGAGTGGCAGGTGTCCCGGGCAGAGGTGACGTGAGGCCACGGCTCACGTAACAACTCGCTGTGACCAGAGAGGAGCGTGCGTCTGGCCCCTCCGTTACCTTCACGTAGGACTTCTCGGTGTCCAGCAGCTCCTGGATGACTTTCCGGAGGCGGTCGGCATCAGAGAGGTGGCGTGCCAGTGGCCTTGGAGGCGGGTCCTGGCTCTCCCTGGGTCCCTCCATGCTGTTGGTCTGGGGGTCGGTAAAGTCCCTGCACAGCGCAGCAATCTCTTCAGCACTCTGAGAGGTGAGGAGAGGTGGGGAGTGGTTAATGCCCAGGATGCTGCTCCCCGTTCCCACCAGCGCCAGCCAGCCATGCCGGCACTCGGGAATCGCACAGCGCTGCGTCAAGGGCACACAGTTTCATCCATCCCAGACCACTCTGCCACTTAAAAGTCCATCGGGGGAAATGGCGCCTACCCTGTGTTTAATACCGACACAGGCTTCCCACTCGTGACAGCCCTCACATGCTTCTTTCCTACTGGAATCAGCCTCAAGGCCCAGGGCCCACCCTCTGCAAAGCTGACTTTGCTCTAAAACCAGGGTGAGGTCCCTTTCTGAAAAGCACACACAGGAGATGGCCCAGCTGGGCCCACCACATCCCTCAACAGTTGGCCTGCCTAGCTTTCCGGATGCTCAGGAATCACAGTTAAGTGCCACCCAGTTTAGGATGGCTTGGATCCAGTCCACCTAGAGTCTGGCCTTCAAATCTGACCATTTAGCTGAGCCAACATGTGCCAAGTATGAATGGAGACGTCTCGAGCTGGTGCAGATGCTGGGAACGGGGCGGAGACTGGGAGATGAGAGAGAAGGCCTTCTGAAAGGGGCTGCAGAGCCCAGTAGGGGCACGGGGGGAAGCAGGTGCCACAGTGACACCCGGTGAGAGTGAGAGCAAGAGCAGAGGCCAGACCCGGGGGAAACCTTGGAGTAGGGCCAAGTTGGGACTTGGCAGTGAGTAGCCATGGCCAGACCTGGCAAGAGAGGGCGCTCATCCAGGTAGTGGGGACAGAGTCACACAGGTTGAGTCAAAAAGCAGCAGGAAGCCGGGCGCAGTGGCACATGCCTGTAATCCCAGTGGCTTGGGAGATTGAGGCAGGAGGATCGAGAGTTCAAACCAGCCTCAGCAACAGCAAGGTGCTGAGCAACTCAGGGAT